AACGGTAAAGTTAACGGGAGGTAAAGTAAGACTGCGGCTTCAACAGGTGTACAGGAGACTGATGCTTCAACAGGTGTACAGTAGAGATTGAGGCTTCAACAGGTGTATAGGAGAGACTGAGGCTTCAACAGGTGTACAGGAGACTGATGCTTCAATAGATGTACAGGAGAGACTGAGGCTTCAACAGGTGTAAAGAAGAGACTGAAGCTTCAACAGGTGTATAGAGAGACTGAGGCTCAATAGATGACAGGAGAGACTGAGGCCAACAGGTAAAGAAGAGACTGAGGCTTCAACAGGTGTATAGAGAGACTGAGGCTCAATAGAGTACAGAGAGACTGAGGCCAACAGATGTATAGAAGACTGAGGCACAAGTACAGAAGAGACAAGTTAACAGAGATAGAAGACTGAGGCTTCACGACACAGAAGACTGAGGCTTCAACAGGAGAACAGGAGAGGAAGGCTTCAACAGTGTATAGAAGACTGAGGCTCAACAGATGTACAGAGAGACTGACTCAACAGGATAGAAGACACAAAACAAAACAAAAAGAAGACTGAGGCTTCAACAGGTGTACAGAGAGACTGAGGCTTCAATAGATGTACAGGAGAGACTGAGGCTTCAACAGATGTATAGAAGACTGAGGCTTCAACAAGTGTACAGAAGAGACTAAGGCTTCAACAGGAGTATAGAAGACTGAGGCTTCAACAGGTATACAGAAGACTGAGGCTTCAACTGACAGACGCCAAGGATGGCTCTCTATGTTCCTCAGTATAGGCAGAGAGGAATGAAAACCCGATTCCTAAACGTAACTAAATCATAATCACAAAAATAAACTCCATAATGGTATCGAATCTACACCGAGACTCTACAGTAACCATCACGTTCACTTAGCACCAGGTAGGAGATGTAATTTGAGTGAGACTGACAGACACGAAATATTACGCTACTCAATATTACCGTGAAGAAATAGTTGTTCTTCTTGTGCGGGAATACTACTTAAACTCCATCAGACTAAGAGATGCCATTCATTTATAATACATTATTATAGAGGCTAGTAAATATTAATACTTATAAACTGTCTTATTAAACAAATATTACAACTACTTTATTCACAATATTTCGGTAATCTTAACTTTTATTAATTCTTCTTAGTATAGTCCACTAAACTAACTTACAACATTTCACAATTTTAAAACTCATTAATTACTGTTGTCAACTTTTTTTCAGCTAATTTATTAACAGCTTTTTGTAGATATTATTCTTTATAAGATATTTATATTAACATATATTTCAGTTGTCTGTATGACTTGATGGTTAAAATATTTCCTTAGTAGCATGACACTGTAATCCCACTGTAGGAGACCAAAATACAGAAATACGGGACCACTGTATATAATCTTTTACAGTGGGATTTCAGGGATAAGATTTATGAGGTAATACATAATTTATTCACTCACTGTATTTATGAAGTATAACATAATTTATTAATTAATACATTCACTCACTGTAATAATACAATAAGGTTAACATGACCACACACCTCTCTACCTGGCTGAGTGACTCTGGTTGTCAGTCCAGTCTCAACCTTACTAACCCATTAACTATTACATAATGATGACATCTACGGTGTAACTCGAGTACTGAAGGAGCTATCGTGTTATACCTGACATCTATGTATACATTTTTAATCATGATAATTAATGAGGTCAGACGCCAGAAGGTTTTAAAAGATCGAGAGGTTGGAACTATGACGGATTAACCCCTCTAGTATGCTTAAGTGCTGTCCTCAAGCGCAGTATTAGTTCTGATTTGTTATTTTTCCTCCCAGGTTCTAACGTAAACAGGTCTTAAATCGGGGTACTGTAGGGTGTAGTAGTGGCCAAGACGTGTGGTACTGTGGGGTGGGTAGAGGTGGCCAAGACGTGTGGTACTGTGGGGTGTGTAGAGGTGGCCGAGGCGTGTGGTACTGGGGAATGTGTAGAGGTGGCCGAGGCGTGTGGTACTGTGAGGTGGTTAGAGGTAGTCTAGACGTGTGGTACTGTGGGGTGTGTAGAGGTGGCCAAGACGTGTGGTACTGTGGGGTGGCTAGAGGTGGCCCCGCGTAGTGTTGGTGGTAGCTCAAACGTGTGGCTCCCGGCCTGGAGGTGGCCAAAGTGTGTGGCCTCACGGGTTGTTGATGGTCAAGACAAGTGGCCCTAAATGGGAGAGGTGGCCAAGACGTGTGGCCCTACAGGGGAGAGATGGCCAAAACGTGTGGCCCCGCGGGGCGGTGGTGGCCAAGACGTGTGGCCCCTCGAGGTGGTGGTGGCCAAGACGTGTGGCCCCGCGGGGTGGTGGCGGTGTTGGCCGGGTCGGTGCGCAGCGCAGTAATGGCAGTCGCGAGGAGACCTCCGCCTCCGCCACAACCACCACAGTTTCGTTGTTGCTCGACGGCGCAGCGCATACACGTGGACACAGCGCTGCTGTCACCCGCTCCTCCCTCCTGCTACTGCTGCTCCTACTGTGTTTAACGGTGCTGCTGTTCCTGCCGCTCCTACTGGTGCTGCTCATATTGTTTACCTCTACCTAGAGTCTAAGTGCTCCTGCCACTGCTGCTGTTACAGTCAGTACAGCTGTGCCTCTTTACGAACACTGCTGCTGTTCCCGTGTTTGCGTCAGGTGTCGCTGCTGCACCTCCCGCTGTTCTCGCTCTTACAGCTTCTACTCCAGTGAACCTTAATTGTTTCTGACAGTTCCGCTATTGCGTCTTCTTCAAGTCTCGTGAACACATGTGTTGGCTTATCTGTTAGGTACTCCCATAAGGCGACCCGCTGGAGCCCTCGCCGTTCTACAGCACCATTACTGACGCTGGTGTTTTGTGCTGGGTAAAACTAGTAACGTTCTGGACAGTGACACGAATACTAGTTTTTGTAACCGAACTGTAACTGTAAGTGTGATGAGCTGCCACATGTACTCTGCACTTAAGTTAATAGTGTAATAAAAAGTCAAGTGATCTACTGCTACACTTCTTAGTTCTTAAAACACTTACCGTAAAGCGTTGGAACTGTGGCTTTATGTGAACGGGATTAACTACCTTGATGAACCTACACACAGTAAATAACAAGCAGTAAATGTGGTTATATAATACACGTCCATACACTTTGCTCTCAGTGAATAGTCCAAGTAGCTGAAGTACGAAGGAGAGACAATTGTAAGTATACTCCAAGTGTGTAGTAGTGACAGATGGCGTATAAGTGGACACAACCCACTCACAGGAAATGATTCGCGTATGATAATTCTCAAACAGTTAGTGACCCGCCGTGTGTGTGTTCCTCAGTGTGACGCCCGCCACGATGATAAATGGTCTGGACGGTGGTGAATAATTACTCCAGGTAAAAAAGAAAAGGTGTGTAAAACTTACAGCCTGAATAATATACTTAAATTAAAAGTGAAGTGTAAAATATAAAGGTATTATTAATGATAACAGTAAACAAACATAATAGCGTTTGTTTATAACTTATTACTTCTTTACATCTCACTTATATTTCATCAGTAATAAACAAGTAAATATTCTAAATCATAAACAAAAATAACAGTGAAGATAACTGTAAGACGGAAGACATATAATACAACATTCGCGCTAAATAAGACAGAAATCCGACACCTTAAATTCGGCGCAAGAAAAAATCCTCAATTGGCAACTCGACCAGAGGCTTCCCCCAGCAGGAAAGGTGAGAAAAGGGGGCGTGTCAGACGACTCCAGCAGATATGAGGGGGCGGTGCTAACATCACCCGCGGTTTGGGGGGGGTGACCAAGGGGCTGGAGGAGGAGGAGGAGGAGGGGGAGGAGAGGAGGGGAAGGGAAGGAGGAGGAGGAGAAGGAGGAGGTGTAGAAGGCTGACTCACCCGTCACTTATCCTTCACAGGTCTTTCAAGTCCGTTTTAAAGGACGTCATTTGGACCTAAGGAGGATTTTTTCCCGGATTTGGCCAAGAGGAGTCCGTAACTGTGTCGCGGCCTCGGGGTTTGTTGTCATTGTGAAACTTTAATTGGGCAGGTCGTCGGGGGGTGATTGAAGGACATTTACTGGTGAAATTCAAGAGACAGAATATTCTAATGGTCCCGTATTTATATCTGGAGGAGACAGTGACTGATATTAGCAGGTTTATTTGCCTCCTGGAACGTTCGGACAACATGACAGTGGCCATGGCTTCGTCTAAGGCGGAAGTGCAAGAGAGGGACTTGGTGACGCGCATGAAACACGGGTCGTCATCACCGACTGAAGACAAGGATACGAAGACAGCCACCACCACGACGGCTGTTAAGGGTCTACAAGTAAGTAGTAACAGAGAGGAAGACAATCTCACTATAGCCGGAGACGACGACGATGACACAGAAGAAAAAAGAAGAAAATCCAGCCCGGTTATAGACTCGGGACCGACCGACCTTAGCGTTAAGAAACAACAACAACAACCTACTAACAATACCAAACATCACCATTACAATAACAACAATAATAATAATAACCTCGAGATGCAGCTACCAAGTTCAAGAAACCTGACTAGCGGCATCCCTAACAACCACAACAACAATAACAACAACCATCTCAGTAACCTGCCTCCTTCCCTCGCCGTCAAAAGTTCCTTCACCATCACCAACTTACTCAGACCTCCAGCTAAACCAGTAGAGGCACCAGAAGACCTCAGTAAGGCCAAGAGGAACGCCACCACCGTCACCGCCACCACCACCCGATCGCTACCTGAAGTGACCATCACCCCACAACACCATCACCACCACCTCCATCACATACTACCGCCGCATCACCTTCAGGAGACTAAACGTCACGTCCCCGCAGTGAAAAGGAAAATAGACGAAGTGGAAGAGGAAATAGATGTGGAAGAGGATGATGATGAGGGTAATATGAAGGAATGTGAAGCGGAAGAAGAGGAAGAGGAAGAGGAGGAGGAAGATGTCGGGGTAGACTCGAGCATCAGCGAGGCACTTCTCAACGATGAGACAAAAGGTAAGAGGGAGGAATCAGCGATCTTTTGTCAACCTTATCTTTTATTACCTCTAAGTAAATCTTCCTTAACATCAAGATAACAACAGTAATAAAAACACGTTATAAGCTGTGTTATCTTCTGTGTCTCGTTACATATAAATAAATAACCAAGAGGACAGAGACATCTTCCTGTTATTGTAGCCCCACAAGTTATAAGGTATGGCGTTGTTATCATTCGTCTCTTGTTATAGAAAGACAACCAACAGATATAAATGAAACTCCTATAATATTATTTTTTAATTATCCGGCATCGAGATATCAACAAACATAAAAAAACTAAAAGAACACATAGTTGTATTTCTATATACTTCACGTTATGTATACGAGTAACAAATATAATGACAGACAGATACACCACCCACCTCAAGGTAGGACATACACCACTATAGTTACCTGAGGGAGTATATTAGGTAGTTCAATGTAGGTAAGATGGTCATAAACACCGACAGTATCTAAACACCATCATTCATATCACTAATTATTCGAGTAAAAAAATAATAAAAAATAAAAAAATCACTCAGAATAATAATCACAAAATTACTTCGGATTTTAGGATTTTAAAATTTATTGGTGTTAAAGTTTTTTTTTTTTTTTTTGCCGTAAATAACAAGGTTGCTTTTCTGTTTTTTCTGAATCTATCAGGAGAATATTTTCAGCCATTAGAGACACAATCCCTTTACTGTCTGTTTGTCATTCATTCATTCATTCATTCATTCGTTCATTCATTTCGTCCATTCATTCATTCATTTCGTTCACTCACTCTGACAGCCGTAACAGATGTGCAAAATAACAGGATAAAAAAGTGGATAGTTAGATAAATCAATATTTGGTAGATAAGAATAATATGATAAGAAGGATATAGAAAGGTGTTGTTGTGAGATGGTTGTTATGGTGTTGTGAGATGGTTGTTATGGTGTTGTGAGATGGTTGTTATGGTGTTGTGAGATGGTTGTTATGGTGTTGTGATGGTTGTTATGGTGTTGTGAGATGGTTGTTATGGTGTTGTGAGATGGTTGTTATGGTGTTGTGAGGTGGTTGTTATGGTGTTGTGAGATGGTTGTTATGTTGTTGTGAGAGGTGGTTGTTATGGTGTTGTGAGATGGTTGTTATGGTGTTGTGAGGTGGTTGTTATGGTGTTGTGAGATGGTTGTTATGGTGTTGTGAGATGGTTGTTATGTTGTGAGGTGGTTGTTATGGTGAGGTGGTTGTTAGCATGGTGTTGTGAGGTGGATTTGTTATGGTTTGTGAGGTGGTTGTTATGGTGTTGTGAGATGGTTGTTATGGTGTTGTGAGGTGGTTGTTATGGTGTTGTGAGGTGGTTGTTATGGTGTTGTGAGATGGATTTGTTATGGTGTTGTAGGATAGTTGTTATGGTGTTGTAGAGGTGGTTGTTATGGTGTTGTGAGGTGGTTGTTATGGTGTTGTGAGATGGTTGTTATGGTGTTGTGAGGTGGTTGTTATGGTTTGTGAGGTGGTTGTTATGGTGTTATTGAAGGATGGTTGTTATGGTGTTGTGAGGTGGTTGTTATGGTGTTGTGAGGTGGTTGTTATGGTGTTGTGAGATGGTTGTTATGGTGTTGTGAGATAGTTATGGTGTTGTGAGGTGGTTGTTATGGTGTTGTGAGATGGTTGTTATGGTGTTGTGAGGTGGTTGTTATATGTTTGTGAAGTGGTTGTTATGGTGTTGTGAGATGGTTGTTATGGTGTTGTAGGGTGGTTGTTATGGTGTTGTGAGGTGGTTGTTATGGTGTTGTAGGGGTGGTTGTTATGGTGTTGTGAGGTGGTTGTTATGGTGTTGTGGATGGTTGTTATGGTGTTGTGAGGTGGATTTGTTATGTGGTGTTGTGAGATGGTTGTTATGGTGTTGTGAGGTGGTTGTTATGGTGTTGTGAGGTGGTTGTTATGGTGTTGTGAGGTGGTTGTTATGGTGTTGTGAGGTGGTTGTTATGGTGTTGTGAGATGGTTGTTAGCAATTTGTGAGGTGGTTGTTATGGTGTTGTGAGATGGTTGTTATGGTGTTGTGAGATGGTTGTTATGGTGTTGTGAGGTGGTTGTTATGGTGTTGTGAGATGGTTGTTATGGTGTTGTGAGGTGGTTGTTATGGTGTTGTGAGATGGTTGTTATGGTGTTGTGAGGTGGTTGTTATGGTGTTGTGAGATGGTTGTTATGGTGTTGTGAGGTGGTTGTTATGGTGTTGTGAGATGGTTGTTATGGTGTTGTGAGGTGGTTGTTATGGTGTTGTGAGATGGTTGTTATGGTGTTGTGAGATGGTTGACATGGTTTTGTGAGATGGTTTTGTGAGATGGTTGTTATGGTGTTGTGAGATGGTTGTTATGGTGTTGTGAGATGGTTGTTATGGTGTTGTGAGGTGTTAATAGGTAGTTTGTGACAACGATATTGGTGTGAATATTGTGTAAAATAATTTCTCAGTGGTTTGATACTAATGAAATATCTGAGAGAGAGAGAGAGAGAGAGAGAGAGAGAGAGAGAGAGAGACTAACTCACTACTTACATCTTCATTCAAATCTCCTACAATAATCCTACCAAACCATAGCAACTAATAACATAATCACACATCCTTCCTCTTATACATACACACAGACATACACACCTTACAGTATATTACACATATACATATACAACCCTCACTATTACAGGTCACTAAACTATACTGCTTACTATTACTACTACGACTATTTACTACTTTCTACTAGTGACCTTTTTTAGCCTCCAGTCTCCCCCAATAGCCACACCTTCGCCGCCCACTACTACTTCTACTGTGACTAGTACTATGCAACATTACAATTTGCGTCAACAACATAAAAACCCCAACTTCAAGCTAACATTTAAATATCAATGCAAATTAGTAGCACTCAGTTACCGCATCATAAAAACCGATAATGAAATAGAAGGGAAAAAATGAACCTCCACTTAGATGTAAAAAGATCTTTGAACAGCTCCGTCCCAATAAGGATTTCTCGCCTAATTTAAGATTTAACTGCTAATTGAACGCATTCCGCTTGCTGGCAGAGGCTCTATGTCAAAAGATATAATTGACAAGGAGATATCTGTTAATATCCGTAAGTTAATACCAGCTAGTATCTGTAAGTTAATACCAGCTAGTATCTGTAAATTAATACCAGCTAGTATCTGTAAGTTAGTACCAACTAGTACCTGTAAGTAAATACCAGCTAGTATCCGCAAGTAAATACCAGCTAGTATCCGCAAGTATAGACAAATATTCAAAAGTATCCGCGCGTTGCCCACAAAAAATGCGTAAAAATCCATGATTATTTACACCGGTATCTGCAATTTATCTCTCTCTCTCTCTCTCTCTCTCTCTCTCTCTCTCTCTCTCTCTCTCTCCTACCCACAATTACCCTTCACCACACTGCACTCTCAAAATCTATGATGCCCAAATTAGACGGAAGTCTTACATGCCCTCAAGCACCCGGTCACCGCTGCTGCTAGTGCCCGCGTGCCCTACCCTATCAGTCTCTATTAGGGAGAGGGAGGGCAATTAAGGGAGAAAGTGAGGGAGAAAGATGGCAGGGAGGGTAATTGGGGAGGATATGAGGGAGGGAGGGCACGTGGGAGAGAATAAGAGGGAGAAAGATGGCAGGGAGGCAACTTAAGGGAGGATATGAGGGAGGGAGGGCACGTGGGAGAGAATAAGAGGGAGAAAGATGGCAGGGAGGGTACTTGGGGGAGGATATTGAGGGAGGGAGAATAAGAGGGAGAAAGATGGCAGAGAGGGTACTTGGGGGAGGATATGAGGGAGGGAGAATAAGAGGGAGAAAGATGGCAGAGAGGGTACTTGGGGGAGGATATGAGGAGGGAGAATAAGAGGAGAGAAGGAATGAGGAGGAAAGATGGGAGGGTACTTGGGGAGGATATGAGGGAGGAGAATAAGAGGAGAAAGATGGCAGGGAGGGTACTTGGGGGAGGATATGAGGGAGGGAGGGGAGAATAAGAGGGAGAAAGATGGCAGGGAGGGTACTTGGGGGAGGATGAGGAGGAGAATAAGAGGGAGAAAGATGGCAGAGAGGGTACTTGGGGGAGGATAGAGGAGGGAGAATAAGAGGGAGAAAGATGGCAGAGAGGGTACTTGGGGGAGGATATGAGGGAGGGAGAATAAGAGGAGAAAGATGGCAGGGAGGGTACTTGGGGAGGATATGAGGGAGAGAAAGATGGCAGGAGGGTACTTGGGGAGGATATGAGGGAGGGAGAATAAGAGGAGAAAGAGATGCAGGGAGGGTACTTGGGGGAGGATATGAGGGAGGAGGGCACGGAGAGAATAAGAGGAGAAACAGCAGAGAGGGTACTTGGGGAGGATATGAGGGGAGGGAGAATAAGAGGGAGAAAGATGGCAGAGGAGAGGGGAGGATAGAGAGAATAGAGGAGAAACATGGCAGAGAGGGTACTTGGGGGAGGATAAGGGAGGGAGAATAAGAGGGAGAAAGATGCAGAGAGGGTACTTGAGAATGAGGGATAAGAGGAGAAAGATGGCAGAGAGGGGGAGATATGAGGAGGGAGAATAAGAGGGAGAAAGATGGCAGAGGGTACTTGGGGAGGATGGAGGGAGGAGAATAAGAGGGAGAAAGATGGCAGGAGGGGGGAGGGGAGGGAGAGAAAGATGGCAGGGAGGGTACTTGGGGGGAGGGAGGGAGGGAGGAGAAAGATGGCAGGGAGGGTACTTGGGGGAGGATATGAGGGAGGGAGAATAAGAGGGAGAAAGATGGCAGGGAGGGTACTTGGGGGAGGATATGAGGGAGGGAGTGGCAGGAGAGGGTAGAGAATTAGGGAAGGTGAAGGGGGACATAGAGTGCTAGGGAGTAAGTTAGAAGGGAGAATGAGGAAACAGTCGCAAGGGAGGAAGGGAGGAAGGGAATTGTGAGAGAGAGAGAGGGAATGTGAGGGAAGAAGGGAGGGAAGGGTGGGAGGATGAAAAGTATAAAGGA